GTGGTGGGCAAGACCTCCGCAGAGGCGCTCGGCGGGCACCCCCCCACGCCGCGAGAGTGTGGGCACTGCAGGTCGTCGCAGTCGTCGCCGTTGCCGCCGTCGTCGTCGCCGCCGCCGCCGTCGCCGTCGCCATAGCCGTCGTCGTTGCCGTCGCTGTCGCCGCCGTCGTCGTCGTCGTCGTCGTCGTCGTCGTCGTCGTCGTCGTCGTCGTCGTCGCTGCAGTCGTCGTCGTCGTCGTCGTCGTCGTCGCTGCAGTCGTCGTCGTCTCCTAGGGGAGTCGGGAGGGGGAGGGGCGATAATGTAGAGGGGAGACGATCAAACTAGGTGCGTTCGCGCCATATCTGACATCCAACATCTACCACCCGCCCACGCGTGTCGTAGCGGACCTGGGATTCTCAAAAGGACCCCATCGGGTTATGCGCAATGGGGGACCGGGGGCTGCGTACATGGGGGCAGAAATTGGCGGATGAGCAGGAGGATGAGCAGAAGGAGCGGAAGCAGGAGGACCAGCGCCAGGCGGAGGAGGGGAAAGGAGGGGGGCGATACCGATGATGGGGATTCGGATCCAGAAAGTGGTCTGCGCTGAAACGAGAGTACCATTCTAAACGACGGATCCTAAAAGGAGGCCCACACTGCAGAGGCAGCACAAATTTTGAAGGATCGAAAGCGATTGGATTGTAAACGCACGATAGGAATGACAACTTTGTGAAATCTTGTGCGTAAGCAAGAGCAGTATGCGGAGGGTGGAGGGCTTTTCCCTGGCCATATTCGGGGGGGAAGGGAGAGAATCGCGTTCATGTTGTGTGATTAATTGTGGAGCGGGAGCGGGAGCGGGAGGACCGATGACGGAGTTCGACGGGGACGAGTTGGAGCAGGGGAGAGTCAGGGGGAAAAGGGGGCATGGCGATGCTGACGATCATAACAATGATGATGATGATGATGATGATGAGGATGATGAGGATGATGCTGCGGCTGCTGCTGCTTCTGGTGATGATGGTGGTCGTGGTGGTGGGGTGGTGCTGATGATGACGACGATGATGATGACGACGATGCTGATGAAGGATGACGGTGACGCTGTCGATGACGATGATGATGACGATGATGATGATGCTGATGCTGCTGATGGTGCTGATGATGATGATGGCGATGACGACGATGATGATGATGATGATGATGATGATGATGATGATGATGATGATGATGTCGATGCTGATGATTACGATGATGATGCTGCTGATGATGATAAGGATGACGGTGACGCTGTCGATGACGATGATGATGACGATGCCGCACATTACGACGACAATGATGATAGTGTTGATGATGATGCTGATGATGACGGTGATGATGATGAAGCTGATGATGATGATGATGATGATGATGATGATGATGACGAGGACTGAGGATAACGATGGTGATGATGGTGATGATGTCGATGATGAAGATCAGGACGGAGGTGATGATGAGGATGTTGATGATGATGCTGAAGACGATGATGATAATCATGATGATGACGATGCTGCTGATGATGATGACGATGGTGATGATGCTGATGATGATGCTGATGATGATGCTGATGACGATGCTGATGATGCTAACGGTGATGGTGATTACGAGGATGATGATGATGCTGATGTTGACGATAATGATGATTATGATGATGGTGATTATAATCATGCTGCTGATGATGGATGATGATCATGGTGGTGTTGATGCTGATGCTGCTGACGATGCTGGTGACGATGATGATGATGCTCATGACGACGACGATGCTGATGATGATGTTGATGATGATGCTGCTGATGTCGATGCTGATCTTGAAGTTTATGGCGACGGCGATGATGATGTTGATGATGCTGATGCTGATGCTGATGCTGATGATGATGATAATGATGATGACGATGATGATGCTGCGGCTGCTGCTGCTTCTGGTGATGATGATGGTGGTCGTGGTGGTGGGGTGGGAATGATGCTGAGGAGGATGAGGACGATGGTGATGATGATGCTGATGATGATGAGGATGACGGCGACGCTGTCGATGACGATGATGATGACGATGATGATGATGATGATGATGATGATGCTGATGCTGATGATGGTGCTGATGATGATGGCGATGACGACAATGATGATGATGATGACGATGCTGATGATTACGATGATGCTGCTGCTGATGATGATGATGATGATGAGGATGGCGGTGACGCTGTCGATGACGATGATGATACCGGTGACGCACATTACGACGACTATGATGATGATGATGTTGATGATGATGCTGATGATGACGGTGATGATGATGATGATGATGCTGATAATGATGATGATGATGATGATGATGATGATGACGAGGACTATGAGGATAACGATGGTGATGATGGTGATGATGATGACGAAGATAAGGATGGAGGTGATGATGATGACGATGTTGATGATGCTGAAGACGATGCTGATAATCATGATGATGACGATGCTGCTGATCATGATGATGCTGGTGATGATGATGCTGATGATGATGCTGATGACGATGCTGATGATGATAACGGTGATGGTGATTACGAGGATGATGATGATGCTGATGTTGACGATGATGATGATGAAGCTGATGATGATGATGATGATGATGATGATGGTGATGATGATCATGCTGATGATGATGATGACGACGATGATGATGATGATGATGATCATGATGATTTGCTGTTGAGGAGGCGGAGGGGTAGGAGGAGGAGGAGGAAGAGGAGGAGAAGGAGGATGACCAGTGTAAACCCAAGGCTCATCAACGATACTGCCAACCACCCTCCCTCCAAGTTCCCTCTTCATGGGCTCCTGCACGGATTCATGTTCACTGAGGGGAATACCGCATTGGAACACAACAGTTTGAACATCCGCAATTGTGCCAGAACGCCAGTTCTAGGACTTCAGCGCCGCGAATCACACTTGCTGTTGCGCCTTGGCGATCCTGAACCGTGCCAGAAGACCATTCCTGGGACTTCAACATCGCGAATCAACGTGATTGTCGCGCCCTCACGTTTGGACATCATGCCAAAACACGATTGCTGGGACCTCAACCATGGGACTCCTGGAACCTGTTGCATCTCTTAAGGCGAATGTGCGCGTCGCTAAGGTGAGAGCAACATTTTGAACATGATTCGCCCTCCATCCGTGGAGTTGTTGCAAATTGTTAACATGAATGGGCGCGGCGCTAAGGCGACAGCCACATTTTGAAACCGAGCCGCCCTCCATCCGTGGAAATGAATGTGCGCGGCGCTAGGGCGAGAGCCACATTTTGAAAACGGACCGCCCTCCATCCGTGAAGCCCTTGTAAGCTCTTACAACGAATGTGCGCAGCGCGAAGGCGAGGGCCACATTAGAGCAACATTGTGAAAACGGGCCGCCCTCCATCCGTGATGCTCCTCCATGTTTTGAGGGCGAATGTGCGCGGAGCTAAGACGGTCACCACATTTTGAAAAAGGACCGCCATCCATCCGTGCAACTGCTGCCAGTTTGAAGCATGAAGCTCAAACGTGGTGAGGCAGTCTCCGGCGACACGCCCCGCCCGCCCTTCCGACGGGCCTCGGGGTGCGACGGAGGAGTTATTCATAAGGGGAAGGAGTTGGAGGAGGAGGAGGGGGAGGAGGAGGAGGAGGAAGGTGATGATGAGAATACTGATGATGGAGATGATAATGATGATGATGATGATGATGATGATGATGATGATGATGGTGATGATGAGAATACTGATGATGGAGATGGTGGTGGTGGTGGTTGTGGCGACTGAGCTGGTGATGGTGATGGTGATGATACAGTGGTGATGCTGAAAAAGAGGATGATGATGATGATGATGATGATGAAGATGATGATGATGATGATGATGATGAGGATGAGGATGAGGATGAGGATGAGGAGGACGAGGAGGAGGAGGAGGAGGAGGAGGAGGGTGGATGATGAGAGAGCAGGGAGGAGGATGAGGTGGAAGCAGCATGGTGGATGAAAGAGACGTGGTGGAATATCACAGGAAGCGCTCCCCTCCCCCTGAAAGAGAGACGCATCACTCAGGTGCGATGCGTATTTTGAAAGGGGAATGCCTTGCGCTCTTCCTGTTGAGAGGACTGCGAAGAGTCGAAGTCGTAACATTCCAGGAAGTTTACCGCGAGAGCCTCGCTTCGAAAAGGAGATGCCTCCATCCGTAAATCTTGTGCGACACCAGGCACACGTGGTAGTACGTGCTGAGGAAGTTTCACGCAAACATTCGCTTTTGAGAACAGGGACCGCCCTTGTTACGTGGAAGTGATGCGCAGTTTCGTCATTGTCGTCGTGATCCTTTCCCTCGGTAATCATTCAGTGTGCGGGCCCGTGGCCCTGCACCGGAAAGGCGTCGAACAGGCGTCGTCGGAATTGGGCACGTAAAAATACGTGTGCGGAATGGGGAGGGTCTCCAGCATGGGCCTCGTCGCGCATGTGTTTGCCACGTGCTTTACGTGTCCCTGGCGACGACGGGACCCCCAGGGGGTGTCCAATTTAAAAGCGTCGGATTCTTCACACGTATAAAGGCACATGTGAAGAGGGAGTTGTGCGCGCAGGGCCAGTGTTTTCAAGTGTCCACGGAGGCGTTGGACATCATGGTGAGGGGGAAGCGTTTGGCCCAAGACATCGGCACACAATGAGGATGTTGGAGGAGTTGTTTTACGACGTTGATTTTCACTAGTGAATCTTTCGTCTGAGACATCCTCAGGCAATAAGCTGTTGAAGATCAGACGTCGGATATCTGGATGCATCTGGATGCATCCGGATCGCCAGATCACTGGATCAGTGAACCTTTCACCCAGATCAGCCAGATCACCGAATCAGCCGACCCGATCACTGGATCAGCCAGATCGGCGGAATCACTGGACCACAAGGTCACCGGGCTTTTTGCAGGCCCCAAGGAGGTCGGGTCTCTTTCGGGCCTACTGCGGGTCTCTTTGCGGGCCTCTTGGGGGCCCCTTGGGGGCCTCTCGGGAGCTTCTTGGGGTGGGGGCCTCG